AAAAAAAAAAAAAAAAAGATGAATAAAAGGCCTGTTAGGAGACTCACAGGAATACGCCAGTTTAAGCAGGATAAGAAAACAAACCATATACGGCTTCTGGTGGACAAATCAAATCCCGGTCCCCCGCAAGGGCTAAAACAGGAATTCTACTCTTATGAATGTGATCTTTGTAAAAGAATGTACCACTTCTGTCTCGGAGCCCGCCTTCCCGGAAGGCAGTTGTCAGCTGTAATATTAGTTTAGCAGGAATAGTACCTGCAGAAGTAATAAAAATAACTCGATAATCAATTTGCAATAGTTAGCTTTTTTGCTATTACAAATCATGAATTCGTAATTAATAATTCCAGAGAAGTTCATTGGGTTTGCCTCTGGATAGAGGGATACGGATTCGAGGAGAGAATTTCAAATGACTCCATTTAATGTGGATTCTGAAATCTACTGAATAATAATTAAATAGGAAACGGATCAAACTCAAAACCGAAGTATTTGAATCATTGTATCAAATTCAAAACGGCTGAATGGTTTTATATCATTGAAATTTTAAACTCATCACTTCAAATGGATGGGAAATTCTTAATAAAATCCTTTTGACCATGTTCTGAAAAACTCATAATCGAACAGTTTTCTAGACTAGTAAGTTTTTTGGCCATTTTGGGCATCTTCAAATCCATATCATATGAACTCATTTGAAATCCTCCCCTCAAGCCCTCTTCCAAAATTAACTTCCCTCCATTCTCCATCCAAATGCAACCTAAAGGAAGATGCTAGCCACACCAAGGCCGGGGCGATGCCCATTAGCTTTTTTTGCTCAATAAATCCCACCCAAAAGGCAAAACCAAAATAAGATATTTGATATGCGTAATAAGGTAGTGCAATGCTAAAATTTGTCATTAGACAGGAATAAATATAGAAAGTCCAGATTGACAACCTGCACAAAATCAGTCCACAATACTATTTCCCACTAACATATCATGGATGGACTACACCAGAGCTTAAAGTATCGAATGCAGTAACCCAGCAAAAGTACAGAACATTCTTGACTTACAAAAATTGTTAAGGATTAGCTTCTCCAACAATTCTGGGTGCATCATACCCTGTGCTGATATCAGGTCATTCATCCACGACAAGACATAAGGTGGGCGGGAAGAAAGGGGATAAGCTGCAGATAGCAATGCACCTAAAGGAACAACAGGTACATTAAGAGCCTGTGCTGGGTCAGCCTGTGGGACGAAAACATTCTGTTATGACTCCGAACAGGGATGAGACAAGATTCACATTTGCTCTAAAAGGAGCTGCATATAGTGTACTGGTACGTACGAGAGGAAGAAGAAGTTTGAGTGTCGAATTAGATGTGGTGTAGTCCAGTGACGAAGCCAATGTAACGATAGCGGCTAATCCAGGATCTCTTCCTTCAGAACCTTTTAAAACCAACATATTGTTAAAACTTGCAGAAGAATGCTGAACTCCACCAGAAGGAAATGGGCTAACTATGACATGAGGATGACAGAAGACAAAACATTGTTCGAGTACCACAATTATGTATATAGATTAAAGCCTACAATATCTGATAATTAGTAAGCCACGATAATCAGAACTCCAATAAAAACGCGTGATAGTTGACTAGATTCGAATAAGTAATGGAACAACAGAATTTAAAGAATATGATGTTTATCTAATGCACTGAAACTCAATAACTGTTTGTTATGGAGGTCACATATTGACAGAGATGAAGCCTAAATGATTGTTTGTGCTAGTGCTGAGTGCAGAATACACATAAAACCATAATCGCAAAAAAAAATTAAATCCAGGTGAAATAGATTCTAATATATTCAAAAAAGAGAAGGCAGAAGGTCAAAACCAGTTCACACTAGTAAACTCAGCTTGGAGATGTATGGTATCTGGGGAACAATTTACTTTTATGAATTAACTAAAATCATCAAAAGAATATCTAATCAAACTTACTGTATCGGGATACCATTGCATATAGCAAAATACCCCCCATGGAGTGACCAATTGCGAGTAACCGACCATCCTTTGGTTTGCTCTGAGCCCGTATATATTCCATCTATGAAATGGGCAACAGAAGAAATCACAGACTATCAATGTAGATAGAAAGATAGTACCTCCAAACCAAGGCCATAAATTGAAATATATCTGCTTCAGAAATCAAAAAAATAATAATTTGCACAATGCATGGCCAATAACAAGGAGAAATGTCACCTCACCACAACAGGAATATCCTCTTCCAAATAATGATCAAAGTCCCAATCATATTTGACAATAAAGTCCAACTGTTTCTGGAAATCATCCACTGTCGTGAGTAAGCGTTCTTGCAGATCAAACAGTTGGGGTGAAACAGAACGTTGACCTTCTTCAATGACATCTACCAGCTTTTGACTTAGTTCCCTAATTTGTCCAGCTACACTGGAGTTTTGTTCTGTGTCTAGCAAATTTAAAACTTTTTCCTTTATCTCACCAAAACGTCCAAGTATAAGTGAATCCTCAAAGAATTTCGATATTTGATCAAAAAATTTGGCAGACATAATCTTTGACTGACTTTCACTAAGAAAGCCAGAAAGCCTCTCTGATAAACGCGTGAAAAATTCTGAAAATTCTGAGACGAGTTTGGGTTCATCCCATGCGGTTGCAACTCCGTTTGGTTCTTCACCGACCACAGCTATCTCAGAATTAACCAACTCATTCTGGACTGTGGATATCTGCAAACCAGCAGGGAGGGTGCCCTCGATCATATTTTCTGCAGCAGCTTCCATTAGTTCAGATTTTGCATGAGCTGACTCCTCAACTTCTTTACAATCCAAGCCTTGCATACTCAGGCCAGCCCCTCGGACTTCCAGAACCCAAGTGTCAAATCCTTGGCCACACATATAACGAGCAAAAGATGACTGCAGGAATGTTTATTAGATATAATAAATAAATGGTAGTTTCTTGAATATGTTTGTCCGGTTTCTGTTTTTTCTTCATTCTTCAAGAGGAAATAATAGGCAGAAAAGGCTCTAGTATAACTATAAATTCAAGTGCAAACATACAATCCATGATATAGAATATGATGAATTTCAAGTTAAGCCATTAAATTAATTGTTAGTTCTATGTGTACTTTGATGGAATACATTTCACACCCACACATCTCTTTCCACTGAAACATGCAAACTTCCACGACCATCTATCATACAGTCAGAGAGAATTTCAGTTCACACATTCAAATTCAGAGCAGATGCATGAGTAAACATACATATAATCAAAGCCATATTAGTTCATACATAACCATGGAATATTACCTACAGAAAAGAAAATAATACTACCTCCTATTTTAAATAGATGTCGTTTTGGGATGTTGCACATCTATTAAGAATATTTTTTTTGTCAATAATAACCTTATTTAATGAAGATAGAGATGAATGTTTTGAGAAAAAAGATGAAGAGTGATTATGAAAAGAAGTGATGTATTTATTAGCTAAATGAGGGTAATAATGGAAAAATATGTAAAAAAAATCCAAAACGACATTTATTTAGAAAATAGTTGATAAAGCTAGAATGACATTTAAAAAAAATAGGAGGGAGTATATCTTTTTGTAACCAAAGCAACAATATACCACCAATTAAACCGTCACGAGGTATCTAGAAGATTAATATATGTTCTAGCCAATGAATACCGATTTTCAAATCATAACTGGATGTGCATATATAGAACAGAAGAAAACTAACCCCAGGAGACAGATCATATCCAATGGCGTTTGTCCCGACACCAGACAACAGTAGCAGCGGATGATTTCTCTGAGGAGCCTGCTTCCAAATAACAACACATCCAGTTTAATTCCTTTCTATACAATAATCTTTTCCATTTGACACAGCCTGATAAATTTTACAACTTAACAGACGATTATCAAATCAATTATCTTCACACTTAAATAGTATAAAAAATCTCCAATAACTCATCTGAATACAACAATACAATGTTTGTTTTACCCATTGTTTAATTCCTAAGCTTCCTAATCTAAACCGTGGATCACATATACGAAATGCACTATTATAAGAACAGTACCTGGGGAGGCGGTGTATAGCGCCAGAGCGCGAGCCGCCAATTTGTGTTGCCGACGGTGACGTAGTGGAGCTCGTCGGCCGTGCATATCGACGGTTTACTTGGAAGCTTCTGAATGTCGGCGGGGGGAGCCTCGTTCGTGGAGAACGCTCTCACACTCGCGGCCCCGAGCGTCAGGCGGCGGAAGGACACGGCGCGTGGGGGGATGAAGCAATTCTGGAGAAAGTGTATGCAGTGGTGGTGCTGGCGGATGGTTGCGGCGGCGAGTTGGATCGCCGGATTTATGTTGGATTGGGCGATTGACATCGTTGATTGGTTTGACAAACAGTTATTATTCGGAGGTGTTGAATTTGATTTGTAAACAGTTTTGCCGAGGAGTGTTACGGTGTGTTAGTATTACTAGTAGTCTACTACGTACCCGTCCGATGCACGGGACATAAATATTATATGATTTATTTTTACAATTTTTTCCGTTTAAGTCTACAAAGTAAGAAGGTTATTATCTATATTCTACCTCTTTTAAAGTCTAAAAAACAATAGGGTTATAAGTTTTTTTTCCACATCTTTTAACCAACGTTGTTTTTTAGCCAGAACATTTATATTATTAAAATTTAATTTTAGCATATAAATTTATCCCTTGATATAAGAGAAAGTAACAGTTTTACTTATTCATGTGTATAATATTTAACTATTATTTTATTATATAATAAAAAAAATATTGTTAAATAGTATAGTAGAAATGCTATAAAATTATATGAATTTTTTTTTACATTATGGATTAATATCTTTTTATGATTTGATAATATAACTATAATATATTCTTAATGATATATAGGTTTATTTTAGTATAGCTAGAATGCCGGTTGCATATAGGAAAAAAATAGATGCAGACAACATTCTGCTATAAGATAAAAGTTTTCTCGTTAGAATGAGATTTTTTATCCATCATGTTCTTCTACACAATTATTAGATAAATGCAGCCAACATTTTGCTATAAGATAAATGTTTCCTCAGAGCTGGATGCATGTCACATGTCATCTAAACTTTTTGATTTTTTTTTTTTAGTTTGTTACTTTTAATTATCTAAAATTTAACCGTGTGAATTGATTTACAATATACTCTATATTCAAGTTTACAACATACTCTACATTCAGTTAAGACTGATTTCCATTTGATAATGATTTTAAAGTTTGATTATTAATTTGACCAAACATTTTGCTTATTGATTTATATATAATGTTTGATTATTATTTTGACCAAACATGAAAGATGAACTTGTTGGATCAGTGTTGTTAATCTAAAAAAACATAAAAGTTTTTCATATTATTTATTTAGTTTTTATCAGTTTGTAAACTTTTATAAGTGTAAGAAACATTTTCATGATTTTTTTATTTATTCCACGATTTTTTGATTCATTACAGCTTTGAACAATCTACTAAAAATTATTAAGCCGCCTTCTAGCAAATGTGTATGGAGTTATGTGTTCGTGTCTCATAAGTAACAAACATAATGAATAACATTACAAATTATTCATTTGAACTTTTATTCATTGCAAATATATTAAAATAGTTTATATAACAACCATTAAGTACCACTTTCAATATATTTATAAATAAAAAAGTATATAAAATTTCTGGTGTGTTCAAATTGAAATAATTTATTATGGGTTCAATTTTAAATCATTCAGACATTTGGTCAAACGCATAGGTGTGTTCAAATTTAAATCATTGGTATTTTGTTTGGTTGAAATTTAAATCATCTACCATGGTACTGTGATGTGTATAATATATATATATACATTTTTTTAACAAATAATATGTGCTTTATAAAAATAATAATAACAATTTCACAAGATTTTAAACGTAAAATCTAGTTTTTAATAACAATAGAAAAATCATGGTAAGTTGTATTGAAAAGGTGTTATGGGATAAAATAATTAAATAAAATAATTAAATAAAATATTTGATGAAAATAGAATGCATTAATTATTTTTTATTTTTCTTACTACTAATTCTAATAAATATGATGTTTTTTTATATAAGTATAGATTATAACTATAATATAATATAATATGTTTTTTTATTATAATTATAATTATTATTATTATTATTATTATTTTTATTATTATTATTATTATCATTTTGTTTTGTTTATTTGAGTACGTGGAGATTTTGGAGGTTCCTTGGAAGGTGTGGGAAATAAATTGTGATAACACTACACCTCATAAATGCCCTATTTGGGAGGTTCCATTGAAAATAAAAGACCTAGTTTGTATGAGGTGGGTCCTCTACTTAATAGGAGTTTTATCAATACAAGACCTGAAAGATAGGTAAACTATCAATGCGGGGCCTGAAAATTTTTTTTTCTCAATTCGGGACCTAAATGTTATAAAACTATCAAATTAAAGACCCGAAAGATGGGTAAACTATCAATGCGGGGCCTGAAAGATTTTTTTTCTCAATTCAGGACTTAAATGTTATAAAACTATCAAATTAAGTTTAGAATTAACAAAACTCAAAACACCATTAAATTTAGAGTTAAAATTAAAAAAAAAAAAAAACAAAAGATTGGTGATTAAAACTTTAAAAAAAAAATAATATTTAATTATTAGATTTTATTTCATATTCATTCACATTTTTAAAAACTATTAATGCATATGAATGAAATTCAATAAGATAATCAATTTAAATATAAAAATCATATTAATTATTTATTTAATATAATTATTTTATTTTTTTTTAACAACAAACACAAATATTTATGAGGATAATAATATTATAAACACTCAAGAGTACAAATGGTTATAAATTATGTAAAAATGTTTGAATGAAAAAGTGAGTTAAAAACTAGAAAAATTGATGGAAGAATGAAAAATTTAAAAAATGTGAATGAATATGAAAATAAAATATAAAAATTAAATATTATTATTTTTAAACTCTAGATTTAATTGTGTTATGAGTTTTGTTAATTCTAGACTTAATTTGATAGTTTTATAACATTTAAGTCTTGAATTGAGAAAAAAAAATCTTTCAGGTCCCGTATTGATAGTTTACCCATCTTTCGGGTCTTTAATTTGATAGTTTTATAACATTTAGGTCCCGAATTGAAAAAAAAAATCTTTCAGGCCCCGCATTGATAGTTTACCCATCTTTCAGGCCTTGTATTGATAAAACTCCTACTTAATAAGGTGGTGGAGGATATACTTAACGGTATATCAAACTAGAGGTGATATAGAGTTGTACTTTGATGTGTGAAGATTGTACATAGAGGTGGCTGCGGGCCACTCAGCCAGCCGACTCAGCCCAGTCAAGCCTGTTGAACACGGGTCTGGAACTCGGATTTTAATTGGGTCGAGTTAGGGCCGTGCTTTTCGACTTTGCCCCAGCGGGCCGGACTGGGTCAGGGTCGGCCCAGGAAATTAGCATAGTTTTATATTGTTTTTTTATGGGTCCTACACCCGGCTCGGGCCTGACCCGACACGACCCTAAGTAAGGGTCGATTCCGTGTCTGTGTTTCCTAGCCTGGAGGCCTACCAAGACCGTCGCGCGAGATGGCCATGTCTAATTAGTGTCAAAGAATTTTGATCTATCTCTTGATGAATACTCTTAAAGGTATGATTTTTCTTGCCTCCATTGATGCTTCCTCTTATGCAAAGATGAGAAAGAAGATGTTTGAGTTTCTTGATAAATTTGTGGAGCGCAATAGAGAATTAAATGTTATTCAAGTTTTCATTGACAATTCTAGTACAATGGTTCTTGTTGGTAAGTTATTTACTTATTTTGTGTCATTTATAATTATGGGTGCTCATTCATCTGCCATCGTTCAAATTGTTGAAGTTTTCTCTCATGTAGGAAAATTGCTAGAAGACAAACAATCGCATTTGTTTTGGACTTCATGTATGATACATTGTTTAGACTTGATTTTTGATAATATAGGCAAGTTGCCTAATGTCATATACACATAGAAGAAGGCAATCAATGTGAATGCATGTGTTTATGTTCGTCTGGATGTGGTGAATATGTTGAGGCAATTCACGGAAGAGAAAGAAATTATTCACCTGGTGTTACAGGTTTGCTACAACCTTTCTCACACTTAAAAGAATGCAATTACTGAAAAAAAAAATTAAGAGATATGTTATGATCGAAAGAACATGAAGAGATCAGTGAAGGAAAGAATCCCATGAGGTGAAAATTACCACAATCATTTTTTGAATTCGAATTCGGAACAATGTATTGACAATCTAAAAAATATTTAATCAATTGGTTCATGATTAGGAATGTGAATGGGGGTAAAAAGGTCCGGAATATTCAACATTTATAAATCCATGGACAAAGCAAAACAAGGGATATTGGACTTTATTTTTATACATTTGAAAGAAGACAAATATAAGGATGCATGGGAAAATCATTGATATTGAGATGGAATTGTCGACTCCATAAGCCCTTGTAAGCCGCCAATCATTATTTGGATCCACAATTTATTCCTACATATAGCTAATTAAATATTCCATATGAGATTGAGAATTAATTTCTTTCATGCGTAGATAGTATGATCCTGGACCTTGACGAGCAAGAAATATCTCATCCCAATATGGAATTTATTTAAGCGCCACCAAGGGTTTCGGAAGGGCTTTTGGTGACTTGATAAAGGTCTTTGATTGCTCTGGTGGAATCGTGGTATATTTTCGGACAAACTCTAAAATTGAGAAAGTTTGCCATCAAGGTGCTAAATCTCAGTGTAGTGCTTCGGGATATGAGCACAATTGAAGCATTTTTTAGCACATAAATATTTCATAGATTTTTTTAATAAAATTGTTATGAAATCTTAGATTTTGTAGACAGTAGAAAATGAAATCGGCTTGAACAAAAAATAATTTGGATTATTTGGTATATGTAAAATTCAATAATGAGCATGATCGAATTGATCCTATATTACTGCTTTTATGTCATTGGTTACCTGCTAATTGTGTCTTAGATACCCCATTTGCCGGAAAGACCCATCAAAAAGACTACTTATTAAACCTTACTCTTCTTTGATCATCCATGGCTTCACTTCGCAGTTGAACTATATTGACGAGTCCAGTGATTGGTTTGTATGAAAAATGAAAGGAGATAGCGATGATATATAATGATGATTTGGTATCTGAGGGAGAATACTTGGCTTGGGCTGCGGTTGATGAGACTAATGGTGCAGAGGAGCCTGCATATCAAACTAGGAAAAAGAGCTCAAAGTTCCAAGCTCAAGGAGTTCAAGAAGAAAAATACAAAAGCGTTAGAGTTGGAAAAGAGAGTCAATTTTTTCCCATA